GTTCCAGTCTAAGAAAAATCCTAGCTTTGGAGTATACAGTGTACCTCTTTGTCATTGGTACGTAATTCACTGGCCCTTTTGTATGGAGCCTGGGTTCCCAAATGGTTAACTTAAATTTCATCCTTTTTATTTGTATTCTCCTCGCCCTCAATACTTGAACCACACTATTCTCGTCTGCTGCGTATCTCTTCTTTATTTAAGTCTGTGACAAAATAGCCACTGAAAATGGACTTCTTTTCTCGCATTTTTTCCATCCTGCACCTCATTACTTTTCACGCTAAACCGTATGGCTATTGCCATTTCTGTTTTTTTTTTCTCAATAGGAAAGACTTGTCCATTCGTTTCCCAGACTCATTGGAACGAACGTCAGCAAATATAATTAATTTTATATTGAATCATGGATTAAAGGAGAGAAGTGGAGCTGAGAAAGCATGTTTCTCTGAAAAAGTAAGAAGTGAAATCAGAGAACTTGAAAAATCACTTTGCCAAGTAGAGAAGGATAAACAATTACTCGAAATCAGACTTGGGGAAGCACTTCGAACAAGAGAACTTAGAGGCAATGCACAAGACAGAGTCGCTACGCACCTGGAACAAGAGTATCAGGGAATGGAAGAAAAGGTCCATAAACTGGTGAAAGGAAGCAAAAAAGTTTTATATGATCTTTGGGCCGCTGAAACTAAACTGAATGAAAAAGGAAAGCAATTAAGTGGACTGTCATTTGACAAAAGGCATTATGAGGCAGAGAATGAGAAGTTGTCTGAAAAAAATAACAAGGAGAACGTTGCGCTACTTGAACAAAGTAAAGTGTTAGGAGAGCTTCAGAAATCTTTAACAGCACTGAGAAGAAGAGCAACATACCTAGAAATTTCTAACAACATTCTTCGAAATAAATTTAGAAAGTCGTTCTCAGAAGCTCACTACCCAAATTATTAGAAGCTGAAATCATGAGAGGGGTGATCGACTTTGAGTGACTTAAAAAAATGAGAATGCTTAGTCACATAGTTTTAAGTCCATCAATGTCATGTTTACATTTACGTACATCAATATCATGTTTACATGCTGAAGCTGAGCCACAAGTTTTCAAAAAAGTTTGTGCATTTTTCAGAGTAGAGAGTGAAATGCCCTGGTTGGCGCCATATTTTGATAACCCAGTGGTTCTATTTTGAATTTATTTATGTAATGCTGATATGATTATTTTGGCATAACCCTGTTACACCAAGGGTATTAACATGGTAGAATTCCAAAATAGCTGATGGAGATGTCTGATGTTGTTTTGTTTTGGAAGAGTTTCAGGTTGCTTTCTTACTTTATTAGTGATCAGTTTGTTGCGACCCAGTACTAAAACTCCACTTTGCATAGTTTATTCACATGGGTATAAATTGTTTTGAAACCGTGAGAAGGGTGATCGACCTTGAGTGACTTAAAAAAAAGGAAAATGCTCAGTCACATAGTTTTCAGTCTTTCATGACGCGAAGAAGAGCTTAAATGAGCCATTATTTTATAGTTTACTCCTGATAAAGTAAAACTAAAACCCATGAGAGGTTTCCAGGCTGATATATTAAATTGACATGCCTGTGATAGGCTTGCGGGCATGTTAGGACTTATTAGCATCACTGTGGTCCCTTGAAAATGTTGCAGAACAATTGTCCATTTTCATGGTACGGCGGTCTGTATTCTTAAGTTCCTTAAATGTTTTTGCTTGCAATAATGGAACACAAGCCTTAGCTTTAATGTAGGAACCAAACCCCAGTAGGTGAAAGTAGGCGAAAAAAAAAACCCGAAACGTCAAACTAATGGAGGTTGAAATAATTCCGCATGTAAAAGATGAAGAACACAAGAAATACGTATATTTAAAAATATGTATTGTTCCCTCCTCCTTTTTCCACCTATCCGAGGAACTTAAAAATTTCACATTTTCAGGCTACGTTTCTTGATTTCAATTATTATTTGGCTGATTTTGCCTTGGCCCATTCTGGTCGGCACCCTTACCTCACTCAGGGCGTGAAATTATTTTTTTTCTGATAGCCACTTGTCTCCTAATTTTTCAAAATGGTGGCCAATGCAAAAAAGGTGGTCGCCATTTTTAAAGACAAACAAAACCTTTTTTTCACTTTTTGTCTGCGTTCTAGATAGACCCTCCAAAATTAAGTTCTACGAAGTGGACACTAGTATGGGTGATATGCGACATTCAAGCTCACCTAAATCCAAGATGGCGTCTAATTATAGATCGAGATGCATGTGCTGCGTTTTGGAAATTAAACAAACTTAACGAGGAAGTTTGCCGCGGATTTTTCTTTGCAAATCTTTTTAATTCACTACATCTCTAGGTATGGTCATGATGAAGCATTCTAGTCGTCAATTTGGCGACTACTTTTCAGGATTTGGTCGCCAAAGTGAAAAATTTAGTCGCATTGGCGCCTAAATCAGGCGCAATTTCAATTTCACGCCCTGTGTAGGAAAAGAGATCAGGATGCTTTTTCTGAACTGAACGTGCAACGGGTGACCCTAAAAGCTGGAACGGTGGAATGGTGGAATGGTGGAAAATGACCCCAAATCCTAAAACACGGAACGGTGGAAAATGACCCCAAATCCTAAAACACGGAACGGCGGAAAATGACCCCAAATCCTAAAACACGGAACGGTGGAAAATGACCCCAAATCCTAAAACACGGAACGGCGGAAAATGACCCCAAATCCTAAAACACGGAACGGCGGAAAATGACCCCAATTCCTAAAACACGGAACGGTGGAAAATGACCCCAAATCCTAAAACACGGAACGGGGGAAAATGACCTCAGATCCTAAAACATCGAACGGCGGAAAATGACCCCAAATCCTAAAACACGGACGGATGTCAGGGCATGTTGCACAAATTTTGTACAAAGACACCAAGCGCTTGGCTCATTTATCCCCACGACGATAACGTGTGACTAAAATTAAGTGTTATCAAGGTGGAACAGGAATTTGGTAAAAGAAAGTTAAAGCTTGACCTGTCCAGGTAAAGAGTCTTGTTAAAAAAGAAATCACACATGTCATCTTAAATGCATCCATTTGAAAACATTCTTCATCCTCATTGCTCATTGCTGTTTGTTACAGCCAATCCAGCAAAGTCCCAGATGTTATTTCCATAGACAGTTCTGAAGATGAGAATCAACTAGAAAAGTAATAGTATTTCAAATACCTCGGAGTTTGTGTTTTTATGTAAGCAATTGTAGCAAAAGTTTTCGCTTGAGTCGACCATTGTTTATGTTATAAGACGAAACCTGTGTGTACATGATTCGTAGACAGGTCCCGTTAATGTTAGTTATTGCTGAAATTATTTCCAGTTTTTTTAAATCAACATCATTCTCACTTTTAAATTAAGCAACCGTGTGGCATATTTTGTCTAAAATTCACTCATTATTATTATTAGGGTTAGTTGGTGAAACCTGTGTTAAGATGACTGACATTGACAGGTCCCGTTAATATTAGATAATGGTATTCCTCATTGATTTAAGCTCGATATATTTTCACTGATAATGTCGGAGTTTTAGTTAAGATTGCGTTAACAAGAAGTAAGTCAACGCTTGTGATTGCATCTTTGCATGTGGACAAAGTCAAAACCTGACAGGCCTAATGTCAATTTTACTCAAAAAAGAGAGGTTGATAAATTAGTTAATGGACATCCACAGCATGATATTAAACATTATTACGAGCAAAGATATCCGCGGAAGTTATCCTCCTAAGGGGAAATTAGTTTGGGTACACTTGATTTTTATTTGACTCTCTTGATCCTTTGGCCTTGCCTATAATTCCGTCTTTTAGGCTTTGGGGTAATTTTCCGCCATGCCACCTTTTAGGAGTTGCTGCTAGCAAATGACTGGAAAAAATGGGGTCAAATCCAAGGGAAATTGGGTCTTGTTCGAGTAAGCGGGGGTTTCGAGTTCGCCGGGTTCGAGTTCGCCGGGTTAGCGGGGTTCTAGTGACAGGATCTATTCTCACCATGCAAATTAGAAGAATTAGTGAAATAGCCTTTTTTTGTCCAGAAAGTTTATTTCTTCCGCTGATATGTAAGCCGTAAATTTCACAGTAGGATGGTGGTGTTTTGGACACCTGGTCGCGAAGAAATTCTTCAAATTCTTCTTGACGGCTTCCTTCTGCTAACTTTCTTTTGTCTTTTCACGCCATGAGAAATTCCCACGCGCGTGACACCCTGCAAACCTCTCTTCAACTAGTGTTACTCAAGTCCCAAAACTTATTCGTGGATGAAAAAACGCTCGTATTGAAGGGCTCGTAACGAGGGCTTGCTCTCACGCTAGTCTAAGTTTGGAGCTGGGGCTGAACGTTGTCATATTTTGAGAAGCCTGAAAATGTTCCTGTGATGTTCTCACATTTACAAGCATATGAGATATTATTGTTTCAATAAATCAATACAGACGTGACCAGGAAACGTATCAAAGTTATAATTGTTTATTGTAATGTGGTATGTCGAGTTGGTTTTCACATGCTGTGCGACTTTTTATGCCGCGACTAAAACTCATGGCAAATTTTGCATAAAAAAAGGTAACTAAACACGGTTACAACGCGAAAACGCAGCTATCTTTCATGCATAATGGTTCATTATTATTTATACCACTCAGTTAAAGAAAAAAAATTAATAACACTTAATTTTAGTCACGCGCGTTATCGTAGTGGGGATAAATGAGCCAAGCGCTTGGTGTCTTTGTACAAAATTTGTGCAACATGCCCTGACATCCGTTCCGTGCTTTAGGATTTGGGGTCATTTTCCGCCGTTCCGTGCTTTAGGATTTGGGGTCATTTTCCACCGTTCCGTGCTTTAGGATTTGGGGTCATTTTCCGCCATTCCGCCATTCCACCGTTCCTGCTTTTAGGGTCGCCCACGTGCAACGCCCTGCTCCGAATCCAAATGTTTGTGAGAAATACTTTCAGAAGCACGAGCACGTGGTTTACAAACTCATCCCTAGTAGTACTCGGTTGTACCTCTAGCAGGTAGGTTGGAGACTGGCCACGTCAGTCTATCACTTCATTCTATTTCAACATGGCGGCGACTAAAGCAGTGAGTGAAGCATTTCATGTAGACAAAGAAACTGACGAGGTTATGGGCGAAACGTCAGACGAAGTTGATCCACAACAAGCTATCCTGTGTTTAGAAAGTATCCTTATAATTATATTTTTTTTTTCTGAAATAGTGTTCAAAACCAAATGAACGAACCAGCATGTGAGCCTTCGTTAAAGAATCTTAATCGTAAGAGACATTGCGGTTTCCTCAATAAGAAGTATCTTCATAAAAAAGCTTTATGAAAAGAAGTGTCTAATTTTTACATAAAAGCAAAAAAGCTGCAAAAGGTCTTGAATTAGTGAAATTTATGCCACATGGTTTTAAAATTTTGAATGCTTTAGTTGCTAACTACGTTATTTCACGATCAGAAATTAAAACGTTCCAGCTTTTGGTTTTAAATTCTGAAAGTTACTTAAATTAGCTTTGAATTTTATGAAAAACCTCATTGTTTGGATAAATCAACCCTGTAAATTCTATTTTCCAGGCTGTGGAGTTGTTTGCAAAGCTTTACTTGTAGTAACTAATGGAATTTTCATTCTGGTTTCAAAGGTTTGACTCAAAATGTATGAAGTGTTCGCTCTTCACTTATGTGCTGAGAAGTAACCTAGCGAACACTGATTGCGGGTACAGTAATATTATTTGGGGTATATCAGTGAATATTCCCTGGTTCTAACAGGGGTGTATTTGGTCATGTGATGGATTATAGAAAGGCCCATTCACTGAGGAGGTGGTGGATATTTATGAAGGGGCAAAGTGGCAAGGTAAATATCCACTGCTAACCAGATTATAGAAAGGCCCATTCACTGAGGAGGTGGTGGATATTTATGAAGGGGCAAAGTGGCAAGGTAAATATCCACTGCTAACCAGTGACACTGAGGTCAATAGTTGTTGTAGTATCATGCTTAAACAGTGAGATAATATATCACAAAAAGATGGGTTAACTCATTTATTCCTGTAATGATTACAATATTTTCAGGTGCAAATTCCAAGCGAGTACCTTGGAGGTGAATAGCAAAGGATATTCATAGTCACCTCTGACCCTATCCACTGTTTAAGCATATACTTAAGAGATATTCCCCAGTTTTGGCTGGTTATTTTGATGATGCTAGTCTTTTAGGAGGACATTTACAGTCAAGCAAAACAGATTCTATCTCTAGTGAATAAATAAAATATTTCTTTAACTTATATCTTAAAACAAGTTCTTCCAATTATCAGAGATGCTCAAGGACAACATGGGTTACGTCATGGGGATTATCAGAGATATAGGTAATATGCTGTTGTTTCTTTGGTTCACTGGAATCTTTGAAATTGGATTTTTACTTTTCTTTTCTTTAACAAAGATACATGTACCTGTAGTACAGTAGTATGTGTTAGAATACCAAGGCTGGGTTAAGATAACCCAGGGTTAGTGTGAAATGAAAGCTTAAAAAAATATATAATTTAATTCTTTTTGTCCTTAATTTGATCATTGAATGTCTGAAAAAGAATAGAGAAAATTCACCCAAAAAGGCCTTTGAATGAAGGAGTAAAGAAACCCAGATTAAATTTTAACCTTGGGATAGCACTATTTGGCCTTTGAACAACTGGGCCTAGGAGTCTAAATAAGAAAGTCAGTTTTGGTGTTTAAAATTGTGTTGGTGGAGTTAGAGAAAAAAGCCATTAAAAGAATTGAAGGCTCAAATTTGGGCTCACCCACTCTTTTACTTAAACAAGCAATGTCTTGATTTTTCCAAGAATTGTTTGCCTGAAAACATTCTGGTCATCTCAGGGAAAGGGAAAACTGCTAATTTCAAGTGTTGTGTTACTACTATTACTGGAAAGAACATACCAGGAACACCAGCACATAAGCCATTTTTACCCAAAATTTAAATGACATACTAGGGGAGAACATACTGCAAATTTGCATGAATTTATAGGTATGTATAGCAGACTAATGAGAACTTCATAAAAATATTCAAAAATAGAAATTGGTCATTGCTTTTGCAAACATAAACATGTAATTCAGTAGATTTGACATCCATACAATTATAGCTAAAACTATTGGGGAGACTTCAAAGTATTCTCTGTTTCAATGTTTGTGATGTAGTGGGTAATAGGGCAATCAGAATAAAGCAACTTCCCAAGACTGTACTTGTGATTTATTTTCCAAATTTAAATTACCAAACTTGAGGTGAAACTTTTCTGCAAGTCCAGGTTATATGCCAGTTTTAACAGTAATTCTGATAAAAATACATAACTCTGAGCAATGTAATTATAATTAGCTTATCATTGGTGATCCTCAATCCTTATCAGGCAATACTGTCAGCGGAGGTTGAGAAGATTATACAAGACTTTGAATTTCCAGCATGGTTCACGAAACACATTCAAGGCAAAGAAATTAACACAGGAACTGCTGAAAGATGTCAAGTAAATCTCACATTTCATTCAGATGTTCCCTTCAGAGTTTAGATTTTGCTAATAATACTGCAATTGTGCTACCAATAATTAAAGCTTCTATTGAAATATCATAGACAAACTAATGGTATTCAATGTTATATATTATCAATTATCCTAAGGGCTTTGGTTTTACAAGTTCATATTCTTATGATGAAAGCCTGTGTTTGTTATTGCTCTGACTGGCTAAGTTCTTGAACATTTTTCTCTACTAATACCCAGTGGCCTTCTTATGTCCCTCTGAAAAAGGGAGATTCTCTTTCTGTTGTATTTCTTAAAAGTTTTCTTTGAACTTTGGTCATTGAACACAATGCAAGTTCAGTGTACAGGTGGCTATTTAATGACTGGCTGAATAAGAAAAAGGAATTCTGTTGTTTATTACAGTGGTAGGCTCTTTAGGATTTTAAAACCAAACACCGAATCTCTAAAACCAAATACATATTGTACATTTTCAGAGTGAGTAATTTTCTTGCTGAATCCACTTCCTCTGACAGTGACAAAATTTAAAGCTGTAAATCAAAGTAACCGAAGAAATTATTGATGGTAGAGAATTGAGCCCTTGTCTGCCTAAACCCTAAGTTGGAGTGGGGTGTGGTGAAGGGGATTTCATAGAAAAAACATGGGACTACCATTTTCCTTTTTTTTTTCCTTCTCTCAAGGTATTTACACATTCCTTTAATGGATGCAGAAAGAGCTTGGAGTCATGCAATGGAGTTGAAGCTATTGGCTAACACTGAACTGCGCAAAAAGTTCCATTACATTAGAAGACTTCGTAAGGCTGCAAGCCATGCTACTCAGTTAGAAGAGCTCTGTTCTGGTGATGTCTGTGATGCCAGAACAAAACTTGAGGCCCAGGTACAATGCTTTTACTTATTGAAAATTTTTAATACCCTTATAAGTCTTTCAGATAATATATAGAATATATATATTCAGCATTAATAACACTAAGTTTTTCACAAAAGTTATTACTAAATAAGACTTTTGACTTTCAAAGTGACACTTGCTACATCACTTAATTTTCTGAGCAAAACTTACAAGTAAACATCCCTAACTTAAAAATGGGTGTATTTCCAAAATTATTGTTGGAAGGGTCAAGATCAAAAACAAAGAAATCTTGGAGCCTTTAAGAACTAAGGAAACTTCCACGAGGCGCTAATAAGAACCCAAAATAGATTAAGGTCACTTTCCTGATTGACTTTCAAAAGAAAGGTGCAACACAATCACATGTAAATGTTCTAAAATTCAATTTAGTGATGGTGCCTTACAGAAGTTTAAACAAAAAGAAACATGTATCAGGTCCATGCTGCTTAACATCTTCCAGTAGTTTCAAGTGCAGCAAACTGCAACAAGAGCAAAGGGAGATTTAGGTGTGTATAATGCCATTTAGCAAATGGCATTATACCAACAAAAAATATTTTATTAATTTACAATGGTTACACTGGCCTGCACTGGAAAACTATCAAAATACATTGTTCAGAATGGAACTAACCCTTTGTTGTTTGATCTTCTGCAAGAATGTGCCTTGAAACTTTTTATTTTCACAATTTGTTGCAGTATGTACTTATTTTAGTAACTGGAGACTAAAAAAAAGTTAGTGAGTCTTCAGTGACTTCATTGTGGACACCTCTGTCAAATCAGCACCTCTAATGTGGATACACAATGGGCTACTAGTGGAATAGCCCTTCCCACGCTATAAAATCCTTCATGGAGTTGGACTTTGCAACCATTTTGGTCTTACTTTCTTTCAACAGTATTCCTGTTGTCACCAATTTTAACTTTGACAGAATACATCTCCGTTTTATTTGTATGTGCTGTTTTGCTATAGTCTACAAGTGCAGTCCTGCTGTTGTTGTATGTACTGTTCTTGCAGCTTTTTCTCATAGCAAATTTACTCTTCTTTGTGAACAGGCCTATGCTTCTTACATGAAAGGCAGTGTCAGTTTTGAGCTGCAGAATTGGAAGGAGGCTTTTGAGTTATTTGGCCATGCCCAGTAAGTTTAACCCAGGGTTTTCAAAATGACTTTTAGTAACCAGACTGTGATGCATAATGTGAGACACTAGACCATTTTATTTCCATCAATGTTAAGTTTACATGCTGAAACTGAGCCACAAGTTTTCAGAAAAATTGGTACATTTTTCAGAGTAGAGAGTGAAATTCCCTGGTTGGTGTCTTATTTTGACAACCCTGTTATTTTATTTTGAATTTATTTAGGTAATGCTGATATGATTGTCTTGGCATAACCCTGTTACTCCAAGGGTATTAACATGTTAGAATTCCAAAGTAGTTCATGAAGATGTATGATGTTGTTTGTATTGGAAGAGCTTCAGGTTACTTTCTTACTTAGTTGGTGATGTTTGTTGGGACCCAGTACCAAAACTCCACTTTGCACAATATATTCACATGGGTATATATTGTTTTGGATAGATGAAAAAGAACCATGATGGGATTTTTGCAAGGGAACAAATGGGGCAAAACTTGATTTTGAATGTAATCAATGGCTAGTGTTTGAAGCCAATATACTTGTGGAAATAAAGAATGCACATTTGGGAACTTTTTTTTAGGTTCACAAGCAGAACTTCTCCTTGCAACTAATTGCAGGTCATTTGTGAGCTAGGTTATGGGAGCCTCAACATCTTCTTTGGGGTTGAATTTTTAAAGAACTTCTTTGCTGTTCTAGTTCTTTGTGGTACAATAGCAAGTCCAAAAAAGACCACTTACATGTTCTTGCAGCACAAGAAATTCTTGAGCCTCTGCTTGCATTTGCAGTGTTTTTGAGAAGAGCTTTTATTGCAGTTTTCTTTGAATTTCCACACACTTGCTAGGTTCTTAAATGGGTTTAACATATGTCGAACCACTAATTCAAACCTTTTGTATCAAAACAGTAATAGCTGCCAAAGATGATTTGAAAAGTTTAAGTAATTTAAACATTTTCGTAATTATTTATGGTGAGGGGAACAACAAGGTAGTATTTACACAATTCTTGTTCTTTGATTAATATGTTTGAATTATAGGGATATACTCTGCACGCAAGAACCTGCAATGCCTGTGGACACTGCATTTTATAAGTACATTGGCTAAAAACACCAGCCAGCCAGGAAAGGATTTGTTATTGACCTAGCCCCAGTTTTTCAAAGGGTAGATAATGCTATTCAACAGATAAATTACTGTTTTATTTTAAACATTTTTGCCCATTTTACATTGAATAGGACTATCTATGAAAAACTAGCTGGGGCTTTCTCTGAGGAACAGCGCACCATGTATCTTCAGAGAGTTGAAGAGATCACTCCAAACATCAGATACTGTGCATACAATCTTAATGAGGGAACCACAGACATTAGTGATTTAATGCAGTTGAGGTGGAGTGCTTCTTCTGGAAGCACAACACAAGATCCAGTTTTAGCAGCCAAAATTGATGTAAGTTGTATGCAAAAGGTTATTAAGACAATTTTGAAGAATTAGGTTACATCTCCTTCATAATTCCCACAGCAGTCTCATGAATTAACCTTTTGTCAGGTCATTTTTAAGCCAGATATGTTCGTGGCTATTACCTTCCAACTTTCATTTTGGAGTTCATATAACTGCTCAAGGCCTCAACAAGTAGCAGCACCAAGGGTAACCAGTCAACTCGCCGACGGACCAACTCGCCGACGTATAAAATCGAGTAGAGACATCGGCGAGTTGGTCGTCAATCCAATACAACTTATTAGAAGTTAAACATACAGAAAAGTAAACGATATTTAGTAAAAAAACACTGGTGTACATTGGTGAACATCAAACAGAAGCTTAAACATCGGTGAACATTGGTGAACATCACCAATGACTTTAACAGCTTAAAACGCGAACGAGTTATCTCGTTCGCGTCTGAAGCTGTTAGAGTCATTGGCGATGTTTACTTTACTTTATTCGCCTTAAGATCCTTATAAACTTCGTTGCAAAAGAATTGCTTTTTACCAAAGATCTTGTCTAGAAAGCCAAGTTTTCTTTAAAAATCTGACCGATTGTTATGATGAGTCTACAGTGTTGTTGTCACACAATAACTCGTTCGCGCTTGAAGCTGTATAGAGTCGTTGGCGATGTTTACTTCCCTTTATTCGCCTTGAGATCCTTATAAACTTTGTTGCAAATAAAAAGAAATGCTTTTTCCTTGAGATCTTGTCTAGAAAGCCAAGTTTTTGTTAAAAAATCTGAGCGATTGACATGATGAGTCTTTACGGTGTTGTCGCACAATAACTCGTTCGCGTCTTAAGCTGTTATAGTCATTGGTGATGTTCACCAATATTCACCAATGTTTAAGCTTCTGTTTGATGTTCACCAGTGTTTTTTTACTAAATATCGTTTACTTTTCTGTATGTTTAACTTCTAATAAGTTGTATTGGATTGACAACCAACTCGCCAACGTCTCTACTTGATTTTATACGTCGGCGAGTTGGTCCGTCAGCAAGTTGACCGTAATTCGCACCAAGTACACCAGGGTCTTTGTTTTTATGTCTGACTTTCCTCTTCATTCCAACTTTTTTGTTGGTAATAGTTTTGAGTAGCTGCTGTAGCTGTAGCTGTCTCAAGTTGTGCATGGAATCTGCATGTAGACTGATGCAATGCCCAATCCTAACCAAAAGGTCTCATAGTTTCCTTATGAAGGACATTTATTTGGTGTTGTTTGAAAAGATTGAAATATGAAGTATTCAAAAACAGGCCTTGTTTTTACAACAAATCACATATTACTATTATCATTTCTATATGGTCATGCAAAGCAACCCACTTGGATTCTCCAAGTAAATTTTACTGAAAGTCAGGCATTGCAAAATGCAGAATTAGCATTTAGGCCTCTTGGTTGGTGGAGTATTCAGTGGTGTGGAATTTATCAGGGGGCATAGGTTCAACTCCTCTGAATTCATTTATGGTGGTTTACTTGACAGTGGGTGCTTGGTCATTAAACACACAATGAAAGTGCACAGTCAGAAATGGCATTTGATCATAGCTGTGGTAGAAAGAATTTGGCACTCAGTCAATCAGTTTGAAAAGTTTTGCTCCAAAATTATTTTATTTTTCTTGACAATTCATTAACTTTTTCTTTGTCATAAGCACTTACCTAGGAATAGTTATTTGGTAGGTAGTGCCTGCAATGTAGTGTTTTTGTTTTGTTTTTTTTAAGAGAAAATAGCTGAAAAATAGACTGTTGCTAGTGACTTAAGTGTCTACTGCTTGAGTCCTTGCTTCAATTTCTATTCCTCTTTGCTGAACATAACATACATGATTTTACATCTACAGGAAGTTATTGCTCAAACACGCGAGAGAGAAGCAGCTGCCATGACAGAAGTGAGCTGGTGTGGCCGTAATGTCCCAGTAAAGAATGAAAAAGTTCGCTCATTCATACTCCACTCCCAACAATGTGCAAGAGAATTAGAGAGAGCTAGTACTTTAGACAGCAAGCTTACATTGTATGACAGTTTACTCATGGAGTGCAAGGATGCCTTGCAAGCAATCAAAGACGAGTTAAAGGGAGACACAGTGAGTTACAGCTGTTTTCTTCTTTTGCATTTATATGTTACAGTATTGATCAATCTTTTGGGACTAGTCACTTGCATTAAGTATATACATTCAGTAACAAAAACCAGGTCATCATGATCAAATGTGCCTTCAATTTGACAGGGTTCTGGCAAGATGCGGTCTCAAAAGTTTGAGGCACAAACAGGAAATATGCAGTTTCTTCACAATTACGTCACTTTTATCCGTTTGAGTAAAACAGTAGAAAGAAACTTGCTTATGGCAGAGTCAATGAAAGGCAGTTTACCAGCAGTTCTACAGAATGCTGCTGAGGAAATAACAGTAAATACTGTCAAACGCCTTTCCAAGCCAGAGGACCTTGTGCGAATATATGACATTATATTGCAGGTATGGTTATAACTATTTATTGGCTATTACTCAAAGTTGATCTGTGTTAGGTATAGTGCATGCAGTTATAAGAACCTCACAAACATCATGCATTGCCTTAAATCACAAAATGTATTGGCATAATACATTGTAGGCTGACTGACATTGCTCAGAATTGTATTTATATCTGCTTTAGTTATCACATTGTAATGATGTCATGTCAACCCCAAGGCCATTTGTAATGTTCAGGCTTAAGCTCTGAATTGTTGGTTTTCATGTAAACATTAATACATATTCCACAAATGGAATTTTGATGCAAGTAAATGGTTGTCTGGAAATGCAAGTATTCCTTTAAATAGGCCTGAAAATGAAAAGTGCCCCCTCTTTTAGTTCTTGATTAAATTTTACCCTCCTTACCACTTTAATCTGTAGAGGTAAATAGTGTATTTTTCCTTTTTTTTGGTACATGGAGTTAAAACTGGCATCTGCATAACACACAATGCGAGAACATGAATGCCATAGCCTTACAGGTTACAAAATTGAAATTGGCTTATATCATGCATCAGTGTTCCATCTTTCTCCTATTTCTAGATGTTTGCACAATTGCTTGCTCATTAATGACATTATTCACTTGGCCATCACTACTTCCACTATTAACTTAATTATTACTTTCCAAATCTACCTATTATCACCCTCATGTTCACTCTTGCTGTCCTCCACTGAACCTAAAAAAGATGGCAACCTCTTTATTTCCTTATCCTTGTCTCCCTATCTCCCATCACCTCCCCTCCACCTAAATAATGACTGTTCCTTAAATTTTTGTGGATAATCTCTTTAACAAACTCGAAGAAAGTAGAGGGCAGAAATGATTAACTTAGTGGGGCTGGGCCTTTAGTCTTGTTGTATAATGCTAATTGAACTGAGTGGAGTGCTGGTGGTCATTGATTGGGAAAAAGGTGCAATTTAGAATTAAAAAATTGAATGATTCTGAAATAACTGGCACTGCTGAGAGACAGTTAAATAGTTAGGGGTACCAATAATTTCAAAATGGATGTACTAAATATACATTACATCCTTACCTCTAGTGTTTACTGTTAGGGTGAGTCAAAGTCAGCAATTCACACTTCTTGTTCCCTTTAGAACCTTTCTGATATGGCTGAGTTACAAGAAATCGATCAAGACTTATTGTTTTCCAAGGAGGTTGCAGCTCAAATATTGGAGTGTAAGGCCCACAGGTATAATCACATCTAACTAATACAGTACTTAGATGAGCTGGTTTTGGATGGGTAACTGAATGTTTATGGTTTGTTGTATGATTTTAAGTAAGTGAAACCTATATTTAAACAAGATGGGAATAAAAGCTTAACAGCTTATAGGGTCATGTAGTTTTTTACTCCCTGACCTTTTAACAGTGAAATTAGTGGAATTGTTGCTTGATCCTAATTTGGCTTGGAGGGGAGGAATATTCTGGTTATTTGTTTCAGTACTAATAATTTTCACATTATGTTTTATTACACAGTCAGTTAAGGTTCTCGTTTACTTACAGTGTCACTGCCTAACACCATGGAGTAGCCATTCATAGTGTATATATGAAAGGCACAAAAAGACAAGACTGAAATTATCAATTTTAAACATGAAAATTGGACAATAAGTCTGTTGAAATCGAAATCAAACTTTTTATTCTGGGAAACTTTATGGCACTCCTTTTAAAAAATTCATTCGTTTTTACTGAAAATTATCAAACTATTACATAATCCCAAAACAGTATAAAGGGTACGTGTCAGTTACTTGTTATTTGCCACTGAGCAATTTTCAGGTAATTTCTACATGCATATCAGAGTCAGCTTGATACGGAATTATAGAAAAAAAAGAAAACGAATGCCTTTTTGTTCTGATCGGTTTTAAGCGGTAAATGCTTTGTTACAGAAAAAAGAAAAAGGATTCGGAATAAAGTAAAGTTTTGTCACATTCATGACCATTCACGTCCTAGTTCATCCTTCTGAGTGTCAACTTTTTGCGATGAAGTGAATAACATACAGGCTGTATATAAAGTGAAGAAGCACTAACAGTAAGAGGGGGCGAAGAGAATCAGCTTTACATCTCTCTTGAGCACTTTCTACTGTTTTTCTTCTTTTCAGGTGTTTATATGTAGCCCATTCGTACTTTCTTGGCAAGAAGTGGCGTGAGGCAATGTCACTGTATAACCATGTTGTGAACCTTGCAAGCTCTGCCATCACTCATTTCCAAGAATTTAACTCACTTGTGCAGGTCTGTCTCTATTTTCTCCATTGTGTGTTGGGTTATTTTGATTTTGTTTTTCAGTTTGTCTTTTAATCCATTTTCTCTATCCTTTGTCCGAGAAAACTAACAAAACCAGAAGATCGAGGTACATGGTTTGCCGTATTATTTTCAAATTACAAAAGCTACCTGATATGTTTGAGAACTGTAACTTTTCTTAAGTGGTTGTACGTTTTTGGCTGAGTTTTTATGCCGTAAACATGGGCCTTCAAGAGTCCTTGAAATGAGAAAAATTTTGATCAGGTGGGGATGAACCTTAAACTAGATTCTGGTTTTTGTCTAGGAATATTCATTCCCTTTGTTGAATGGTAATAATATGTACTTATGGACTGAATGGAAGGGCTGAACGGGAGAATATTTGGCTCAAGCTCATGACTTACCGACCGAATGCAGCAAGGTCCGTGCGTCATGAAGAAGAGCCATATGTTCTACCTTCCGGCCTAACCTACATCAGTCAATAAGCATTTCATTATATGACTACCAAGTATTGGAAATTTCGAAAATTTTGTTTTAACTTTGATAGAAAGCGATAGACTGGCCCGCACGGGAAAACCACAAAAATTATTCGTTAATAATTACTTTTCCATCATTTTCTCGAGCGAGTACAAGAAACTCACAATTCATAGAAACACGTGAAACACTTCACTTGCCTTTCGTGCCATCGGTCAGGTTGATGAATGAACGGCAAAGCCTTTACGATTCTCAATACGAGGTAGTTTGTCGGAACTTTCTCGGATTATGGCGGCTAAAGAAAGAAAGAAATCTAAGCTACAAATGAACAAATCTAATCCGTATTGCTCACAGACAGTGACGTTCAAACTTTCCTAGAAGAGGAAGAAAACCAATGTATGAAAAGAAAAACCAAAAGTTCGGTATTCAGTGGCCTTTGGTAATAGTGTTTCTAGCGGCTGAGAACGAAAAGCGACAACTGAAAGATTAGCCATTGACCGATTTTGGCTGTTTAGACTTCTGTAAAGGCTTCTGTAAAGGCTTCTGTAAAGACTTCTGTCGGTAAGGACAAAGTCAATGAATGAGAATTTTGTAAATTGAAAATTACACCCATTGTTGCTTTTGAGCCTTGTCGATTCTTTTATTTTCATTCATTGATGAACTTTGCTTTTCTTGTCACCAAAGAGCAATTGTGTTTATATGATAAACAAAATAATACATAGTTGCTTGTAGATATGGACTTTCTCTTGAAGTCTTCGACTCGACATCTCACCCGCTCGCTGCGCTCACTCGTGCATTAGCTATCGAGTTGAATACTCGAAGAGAAAGTCCACATCTATGCGCGCCCATGTATTCTCTATTTATCTTTATTCTTTTAGAAAATGAAAGGCACAGAAAGTCAATATGGCGTAATGATGTGTCTCTTTTCTTAGTAAAGAAGTTTTCAGTCGGCGTGGACAACTACTGTTATATTTTCGATTGGGGTTTCTATACATTTGGGGCTTGGCCCTTCAGTGCAAAGTTAAGTTCTTTACATATGCTGCAAAGTTTTTATGTACTGCGCACTAAACATATGGAAAGCTTTGAATTATGACCCTTTTTGTTTATGTAAACGGAGCACCTTTCTACTAGTACGCACCTAAGTGCTACGTATCTCATGGAAATTTTTTCCATTTTCATTTTATATCTCTTTTTTCTTTTTTTTAGGTGATAAGCAGTCTTCAAGAACTTTTGTCACAAGCCCAAGGCTTCAGATGTTCTACTTATGCATCTTGCCTTTTAGGTATGCTATTATTTAGTTCAGAGCATCGAAGGACATTGTTGAGTAGGTGAGCTTGCGAAAACGTCGAAATACAGTGTTTGTGTTATCAACTATCCGAGCTGATGACTTCGTAACTCCTTCCTTTCTCTGTCGATCCTTATCTTTTATAGGCACAGCGTTTTAATCACGCAGATTTTACGAATTATCTTTTGTTTATAGAACTGTTTCTCAACTATGATGCAGAATGAATGAAAAATACATATATTTCATTACAAATCCATCTTATTTTGACAGAGAATGAAGAGGTATCAGATGAAATCGCAGTTATTACTTTGAATGATAAGGTAATACTGAAGTATAAATTTGTATTGAATGTCTAATTTTAACATGATTGATCGTATTCGGTTGCTTTACCTCTGCTTTTGGCTGATGGATTAGGGACGAAGGGTGTGCAGTGTGAGGTAAATGCAACATTAACTGGCCAAGAGCAGAAAAGTTGCTTCACGTGGAATAAATTCTTCCCATTCCACTAGCACTGTGTAGCCACTATCCAACGGAAGAAGTTATCTACGTAAACCTACCTTGACTTTTGCTTGCCGGAAAAAAAGTGATTTAGTTGTATCTTCAAAATAATCTATCAAACGTCGACGCTTTACTTGACGGCTTGAAGTATTACGACGCAGCTGTTAAAAAATGAGCTTTGTTCCACGATGTTGTCCTATCTTAAATTATCAGTATGCACAAGTGATATCTAGAAGCCTATTGAGTCACCATGGTAATTAGCTGAAGAACGATTTAGCAATCAGATAGCTTTACACTATGTATACGCAATGTTGTTTTCTCCAACAACCTTCATCCGTTGGATCACCGTTTTAGGGAATGGCATATTTATACGCTGTCTGGCTTGTCTGGTGCATGAAATGTCCTGTGAAACTACGCAAACACCTGGAAGATTAGTCTATTAATTGAATCGGTAGGGGTCTCAAAAGAAATGAATGAGAGCAACAGCAATGCTTGACTTCTATCAGCTTTTTAGGTGAGCGAATAAAGCAAAGGCCCAGAATTGTTTTAATAAATGAGGAAATAAATAACCCACTAATGAGCTACACTACAACAAAGCGTAAATTTACAATATCATTTATCTGCTCTCAATACATTCCAGTTTTGATTAATTTACTTTCAGCCTGCTAGGTCGACATCTCAGTTTCTAGAATAGCGTCAATGAGCTGATAAGCTCAGTCAGACCAAAAACTGGCTTATTAATGAATCTCTTTCTGCTTTCTTCATTTAGCCACTCAGTAAGCGATTGGAATACTATTTTTCTGACTATTCGCTGACGACTAAGAAGCCGCAGGTTACTTCATTTCCACCAGATTTTAATCCGATACCTTGCAAGCCCCTGTTCTTTGACCTGGCTCTCAATCAAGTCAAGTTCCCGTCATTAGCTCACAGAGTAGAGGAAAAGAAAAGTGGCGGACTAGCTGGATATTTCAAGGGTTGGCTGTGGGGCTCTGGACCTTAAATAACTGTTTGAGATGAACTAAATGTTCGGTCAATTTTGAGCACAACTGTAGTTTAGTCTATTTTCAGTAGCTTGGGTTAAAACTAAGGCACTTTGTGTTGAGAATATTTCACAGAGTGTGTATGAATAGTTCGAACCAACTTTTGCACCCTGAATGCTGCAACGATTTACGATGTAAATCACCAAATGGAGCGCCACGAAATGTAATCTGCCGGAGATTTATTAACCTTGGACGCCAAAGGAGTAGATGGTTTCTCTAGACATGGGAAAAATACAGTTCTAGTGAATTATAATCGTTTTTGCCGAAGTTTCAGCTACATACTGCTAGTCTTTGTCAAGCAGCGAAACGCCTGCAGGCGTTCACACGGGAGTTTGTGTCTACCAGTGGATTGCAATATTCGGATCTAAGGTTTTAATAAACGCTCATTACGGTCAACAATTGTCAAGGAGTCCCTATAAATAACAGAGTCAAGTTCATGGAATGAATCTACTGAATAGGACAACTTGCCTAGATTGGCTGTTACTGTTCCCTGATAGTACAGGTAATTTGTTGTCTTATCGTGATATATATTCGCATAAATGATATGTGCTTCTTTGTTTGTGATAACGCAATTAGTAAGGCTTCGCTGTGAAAAAAAACTGAACAATTACCTTCCCCTGTATTGTAGGTTCAAGCTTTGAGGAACTTATAACATTTGCATAGCTAATCCTTTGAACAGAAAATGATAGATTCACATTAAGTTTGCCTGGATCACATTTCAGAGTCGATATGCGAATTTGTCTGTTAACTGGTGACAAAAACCAAGACAAAAAATGACCAGGCAATATTTCGCGGAGAATTGTTTTATTCAAAGTGGTGCTAGCTTTGCCTTTGCGCGCGAAAAACTTACAAATCTCTTGCCTTTACAAGACCCACAAAAAGGGGTTCATACTACTTGGATCCTTGTGTACAAGACTTCACCAGAGATTTGCGTTGCATCGCGTTGAAAACTTTGCAACTGTCAAGAAGGAGATACTCGGTTAAATAATACTTTATGGAGGTATCAACACTGTAAAATTATATTATCCCACTACGGAATAGTTAACGTTGCCATAGCCTGAGTTGGCGTTTATTTTCAAGCCATAACTCAAATGTCTTTTCTAGAATCGAATTAAGGGCTAAGCACTTAAGAGAGGATGTCGGCATCCATCGAACAAATTTGAAAAATTGTGGCAAGTCGACCAATATTCGTTTTCTCTCCTACTATCATATTTTGTAGCCCAATATGTTCTAATGATTGTGTTGTAGTTTTTTTGTAAAAATATATTTTCGTTTTCGAGAAATTTTTTTCGTTCGACTGCTCAAATACGTAAATTTTCACCGTGAATATTACCCGGGTTGTGTGACCTCGTGTAACGAATACACTCGACCTCTGGTATTTCTGTCAACATAATCCTTCGTTTTATCATCTAAACGTAATCCCCTGTCATTATTGAAGCTGGCAAAGAAATATTTATTTTTTTGGTGAATATTTTTGTCCGACATACTTTTCCTATGTCGAAAAGTAGTATCAAAACAAAGACGGTTTCAACAATGACCGATATGACAGAATCTACTGAGCTTCTAGCTTTTAAAAGACAAAAGGATGGTTATGAAGTTACTGTAAAAATTTCTTTGTGTATTTGTGTTGCTCTATCTTGAGACGAACTTGAAGTCAGGCGAAATTTACTTGCTAGCGACCATGAAATATACATGGTGCGCCTACTTGTCGCCACCGTCTACTGGCATCAATCACTACAATTTGTAAAAAAATCTAACATAACACTCTTACGTTGTTTATGTATGATTTTATGAGCTGTTTCGATTATTATATTACGTCTGGGTATTACTTTTTTCCAACAGAAGCCCAGGTTTTGAGTTGTGTTCTCCCCTCCCCCATTTACATTATAAGCTTGTCACGCAATAATTGATACCGACACAAACGAATATTTACCCTGTATAAAGATTGTTGTTTATGTTGAATTGAAAATATTAGAATGTGTGCTTTTTGTGGTCACTAATCGTTGTTTCAGTGGCAGCGAAGCAGTTAAAAGCAGGTTGTTGCTTCAACGCTATTGAAATTTATAGTATACAGACAGGAGAGCAAAGCGTGATGCTCTGGGAATAAAATGTTACATGATATCGGGATGAGCTCTGTTCAAGAACGAGTTCATTCTGGTGTCCTAGCGGATTTGGACCCCCCTCCGCGAACTTGGAACCCCCAACAAAACTGAGTGGAAACATCGTCCTTAACGGGGGGGGTCCAAATCTGCGAAGGGGGGTCCAAATCCGCTGTGACACCAGTTGCCACATGATACCAGGGTAAAATTTATTCGAAACGAATAATTTTTGAATAAGTTTATCGAGGTTTTCATTTCAGAATTCCTTCTGGATGACCTTTTGTACCTGAATAATGTAAACGATATACGACACATGTCTGCAGAGGAAAAGACAGGAAAGGACAAATATTGGAGATGTCAAGCTGAAGGGATGAACAGATATCTTGAAGGAGAGGGATGGAGAGCTTGTCCAAGTTCTTGTTGGAGGCATAATCACAGAGGTTGTAATTGCCGTGCATGATTGGATGACAGATGGATATGGAATCCATGACGTCCTTCTGAAGATTTTGCAGGACCTTTTCTCTTTCCACAGCCCGTTGGTCTTTCTGGGTTTCAGTTTCGACATCTTGAGTGCCTTTTTCTTTGCTGTCTCCCGCGAAAAGAAGCTTGCTATTAGCTGAGATGTCAGGTATTCGTCTACTTTAAAAATTGGTTCGCCACATGCCAGTCTTGCCTTTCGCATGGATTTCGACACAGATACAGGATCCACCTTGTGACCAGTTTGACTACCAGCGTTAGAAATGTCAAGCAAGTAATCATGCTGTATTTTGGATAGTCGCTTGTAATGCTTGGAACTTTTAAGGCCCATCCCATTTTTAATGAGGGTTCACCTCGTTCAAGGTTACCAGCTTTATCAAAGACATAAAGGACATTAGTCGATGCACCTTCTTCAAGTTGAGCTGCATATTTTAACATAGCCTTGTCGTAAAGGGTTTCACGTTCTAGAACATATTGGTGTTTACCGCAATCGAGGTGGTTCCGACGGGATGAAAGTCTTTGGTACGACTAAATACAGCCCTCTTCTGTACAAAAGAACATGGTCTGTTCCTCTGAGTCGGAATCTGTTTCCTCTGGTGTGTCAGTTATCTGATCACTAGTTGACTTGCTTTTAGCTGAAACTCGTCGTCTTACGGTAACGTCAGTGAATGATACATTAGAGCAGTGTGTGGGTGTGGCTTTGTTAAGCGTAGGCAGCTGGTAATAAATAGGAATGTCAAGGTCACTCTAAAGTAACCATTTGCTAGGTCCAATGTTTTACGCTCTCCAAACTCGAACACCCTCTCGACTAAATGTCAAATTATTAAGGAAACTAATTCCCTCCCACTAAGCTTCAAAAGGCATTTCAACGGTTTGCTCACTACTTGAAGTAACTCTTACTCCCGGTACTCCACCAGCTGACTTGATAGCTTGCACCATCTGCTCTGCAGTCTCTACATCATGGCCTTCATTCAAATATATCTTAATGTGACTTTTGATCGTCGCTGCTTTGCGATCGCATGGGCCTTTTCCACCTTGTGGATCAGAGTAATCAACGTGACATACATTGATGTTGTTCTTTGTGGCTATTCGCTGGACAGATAGTAAAACTGAGGTCGAGTGGTCTACAGTGATCCAGCATTGTCTTTTCTGAGAAACACTGTTTGTACTTCTGGTGAAGTGGACTTGAGTTGCTGGAATACGTCATCGATTATTGCTAAAACAGTGTCACTGACTTGGGAGCATTATTTGAAAACATGGACAAAACTGAGCATTTGCATGGTGCTATCTTTTCTTCTTATCGCTACGGTGATGTGCCAGCTAATGCCACGTTTCCCGAACCAATCATTTTGGGACTCACGATACTTTTTTAGTAAAAACTTCATTGCCCAATCAAGAACAAGTGGAGCAGATGTTGGATTCAGACTTTCTAGAACATCCAATCGAGCTTGATCTTGGTTTGAAGAACGAAAGGATATGGGCCTTCCACACGCTAATTTTTTGCATTGACTGCTCACCTTGGAACTTCATCTCGTCTTTTTCAGCACCATCATCGATCTTTCCTAAAGCGGACTGAATTTCATCGACAACACGAGGAAGTATATCGCAGCGGTCACACCTTTCCTTATGTTCGTGGTCACAAGGTGAGATGTAATCTTTGTCACCAGGAAAATGGTCTACAGTGATCGGCGACAGCTGAACTTTCAGTAATGTGTACCTGAAAAATGAACATACAGATTTATAACCGCAACCGAATTTAAATAATTTTTCTTTTCATGCTCACCTTGTAATCCGTCTCTAGATACCGTTTTGATTGTTTGAGCTTTTCACTTTGATGCTTTTCCCACGTTAGACTGGCGCCGTGCTCATCACCCAACTTTTGTACTATTTCTTCAAGATCATCATATGCTTTTGCTCCATCTGCTGAAAAATAGTCCAGACCTTGCAGTGATTTGCGCACAGAAGCTGAACATACTTTTAATACTCTGCATAATGTACTTCTACTCATCGGACTGAAGCCAGACTCTTTACAATGACTTCGATATTGGCTGACGATTTGCTCTGGAATCATTGTTCTAATGACATTTGGGACCTTAATTTCCACATTCGATGACAGCTTTAACAACTTCTCCCCAAAAGGGAGATCTTGGACCACATAAGCGCTAGTAATGAGGGATAAGAAGTGATCTAGTCTTTCTGAAGCAACATAAATTCTTGTTGATGGGGTCGTTGTGACAGCTGTCCCTCGCCCATGTAGCAAACGGTGATGCCTTGCAATATTGTACCTGTATCTGGTGAGATCTGGTATCCACACTTGTAGGTCTTTGAAAGAGACTTTGCCAGCTATGATAGACAAGATTTGTCGTCGTGTGCCCCAGTGGTCTGCATTGCTATAGCATTCAACTAGTGCCTCTAGCAGTATCGGGTCGATATTTTCACTAGTATTTTGGGATTCGCAGACTATTCTTAGAAGATTATGTTTTTCTTGCGGGGCGATTTCTTCAAGACATGCATCGATGACCTTTCTGGCCCTCCTGGTATGCAGACGCTTTGTTCGTGCCGAAGCTTCATCCCACGGTGTTGCGTGCAGTAAGGAAGGCATTAAGATGGTCTCTAAGCTTTACAACTACTTTTTTGTCCCCATGCACTTCCGTAAACGACAATGACACGTCCAATGGCTCATAGAGGCTCCCAGGTGTGGTTATTGGGGGTATGAAGGAAGAGGTCGCTGGACTATGGACTGTCAGTCTTAATTGTACTTCTTGATCTTCATGCTCCTCCTGATTATTTAAAGCAAAAGCCTATTCTCTATTGTTGCAAAATAAGACTAAAACAATTTTTATGGAAGTGTATACTAAATCAACTGCAATTAACACTAACTTTCTCTGCGCTCGATCTGCGCGCACGTTTTATGTTACTTAAGGTAGCTCGTGTGGCTTAGTGTTTTAGATTCCGTGGTGCAGAATT